AAATGTTGGGTATTAATGTAAATAAAGTCATGATTTATTTTTAACAAATGACCTTTTAAAATCGAATGATTTGTTGACTTTGATAATTCACAAAACAATGTATAAATATACTCTGATTTTCGATGACTTTAAAGAATTGTTTTCAAATAAAACAAATACGAGAAAAATAAACAAAAAAAAATTTAAGATTCTTCATTAGCACTATAATAAGTACAAGTTTTTTTATGATAATGATTTCCATAATTAAAAATATTCTCATAATCCGCAAAACATCTAATAATAAATTATTATTGGTTAATATTAATTTAATGGTCAAATCATAAATCATTAATCAAATTACAAATTATTATTTTGTAAATTATACTTACAACCAACAAAATTCATATTTGCATTCAGGAACTTTGCATGTCATATGATCACATCCCTCATTCTTTGAAATTCTTACTCCACATTTGGGACAAGGTTTGGTATGCTTTGCTAAATATTTTTGAGTAGCCTTATTTTTATTTTTGTCGATTTTATCATATTGTTGGCAAGTTAATCCTTCATGCCATAATGAATCATGCGTGAAGCAACTTTTAGTTCCACAATCTCTGCATGTCAATATTGGCTCAGCGTCACTTCCTACATGAGATTGAGCTGATTTGCATTTAGGATTTTTACACCATCTAATATCTGGCATCTGTTGGAGTGCTTTACGTAATGCTAATTCCTCATATCTAAAAAAAAAAATTTTTTAAATTTTTGCTTTTGAAAAACCAAAAATGAATCTTTTTGTTTTTTTTTTACCTTTGATATAAATTATCATTAACAAGATTTTTTATTTCATAATTATCTAAAACTACACCACATCCTGCAAAAGGACACTTGATATGTATATCACCTTTATCATTTAAATTACTTTCAATGTATCTACTAACACACCCATCACATATGTTTGCATTATGATTACAATTATTTGAAATTATCACAAATGATTTAGGAGGTCGTTTTTCAACACAAATTATACATTCTTTTTTTTTTGTGCTAGTTGACCTAGCATTACCAGTGTTATTATTATCTGTAGTGGTGAAAGTGGAGGTAGTTCTGCTACTTCTTCTAAATGGACTATTAAAAAATAAGTAATTAAATGTTGGCGGATTGTTATTATTATATGATGACATTTTACCAAAGAAAAATATACTATTCAAATTCAAAAAATTTTTCTAAAATGAGTGTTTTTTATTTATTATTATTGTTTATTATTAAGGGAATAACGTGACTTTCAATTATTACAAATTTATATACGTTACTAATTGCTAGTACACAAAACCCAGGATTTTTTTAAATTTAGAAAATAGTGATAAACAATAGACTTATTGAGAATGTTTTCGATTTTGAATTAATTAAAGATTTTAGAATGAATTTTATTACCTTTTTAAAAAAAAAATTTTTTGAATATTAATATTATAAATATATAAATTATATAATAAATATAATATAAAATGTACAGGAAAAATTTTTTTAATATAATATAATAATAAATGAATTTTTCTCATAATGTTCGATAATATGTATGTGATTTTTGTGTATAGCCGCCACTTTTTTTAATTTAATTTGATTTGAATCATAATTTTATAATATGTAATATAACCAAATGGAATAGATTTCTTTCTAAATATAAAATCTCTTAGATATTTTATTATTTTCTTTTGTTTTAATATCCTGGAATATTCTTTCCATCTCATTTCGTGTAATTGATAACCATCTCTACAATAATATTCAATGTAATTTAAAGTTTTATCACTATTGAGAAGATTGTAAATAAAGTTTTCAATATTTTCCAAAGAAATCATCCAACTCAATTTTAAATTAATGATACTTGTGTTGATAATTTTCTCATTAATCTCTTTGAAATTATTTATAGTATTATTGTCATTAATATCATAACCTATACTTATAATTGAAAGATTCTTTAAGTTTTTGGATAGTTGATTGAAGAAATCTATCAAATCTTTAATTGAATTTTTTTCTA